CGAGACAGGGTTTCTCTGTGGCTTTGGAGCCTATCCTAGCACTCGCTCTTTGTAGACCAGGCTGGTCTCACTCACAGAGATCCACCTGCCTCTGCCTCCCAAGTGCGGGGATTAAAGGCCCCCCCCATCCCGCCCGGCCCCCCCCCCCCGCCCCGCCTCAGTTCTTCTCTTACCGTACTGCTTTCTATCACTTTAGTAAAGACTGCAAACCCCTAGTTCTGTGTGGGGGTGGATCCGTGCTTCCGTTTGTGTAGAGGTGGATCAGTTTCTCTGTGTACAGCATGCCCCTTGGCAGCCAAGGTCTAACATGATGTGGGGAGAACAAATTGGACTGGAAAGCAACACTTTCCTCCTTCACCAATTACCGAATTTTGCTTTATGTCTGTTTGTGAAATACCATTTCTTTGTGCACTGAGTTTTGTGAGAATGCTAACAGTCAGGTATGGCTTCCCTGAAATTTCTTAGCTGTGTAGCATGTTTGCAAGCATCTCTACCTGCATTGGAACATGTAGGAAGGACACCTATCTTAATTCCCATTTTATTTTACAAGTTTGGTTTGTGACATTACTTTAGTTTTCTTCCATCCATGAGTCAATAACATTTTGCTACCTTAGAATGAATATCATTATACCCTTGGGGAATTTTTATAGAATACATATTAGTTTGTCTACCTTGCAATGTACATCAGATATCCTCAATCTGACATTTCCAGTTGAAAAAAAATGATTAAATTTATTGATAATATTTACACTTTTTTCAAGAATCTATCATGTAAGTCACAGTTTAAAAAAATCAACTGGTGCAGTTACAAAAGAGAAGGAACATACTTATGAATCCAGGGAACAAAATTTGACACCCTTGTGTAAACACCAGGAAAATTTGGTCTTCCACATCCATGTCCCCAGCTAACAATGCCAGTCAGAATCCATCTTCCATCACTCTTTCTTCGACAAGACAAGGGTCCCCCTGAGTCTCCCTACACAAAAAGATAATGTAAGATAATGTAAGCATGAGGGCATGTGTCTCCTGAGCACCAAGTCCATCATTTATGTGTCTAATACTTTGTGTTTGTTCTGAAATAGTTTTGCTTATGTGACCCACTATGCAAGAGAAAACAATTCTCACAAATCCTCAAAGAATTAACTACTAGTAGTCATTGCAGCTGCAAAAAAAAAAAAAAAAAAAAAAAAAAAAAAAAAGGAAAGAAAAGAAAAAAGAAAAAAGTAGCAATAGCAGGGGCTATCTAATTAGTGTTGGCTATATGCCCAGCAGTGTCTGGGTTCATTTCACCATCATAAAAACATCACGGTTATCTCGGAAGACTGACTTCCATTTGTGGACCATTCAGCTTCAGCAGCTGGTTCATTGACCCAAGTTGAAAGAAGAAAAGACATGGTACATGAAATATGAATGCATTTATGGAAAGCACAACATGTTAGTGACATGAAGGAGGAAGACTTACTTTGCAGGCATCACTCTTGCCAGACATAACCCCTGCACAGAGCATCCGGGAAGTGATGATTCCGTAGGTGGAAACACAGATGGTTTGATCTATGAGCTCTACCTCTGCTTGCTGCAAAACCGGGGAGCCCTTTTTATCTGCAAGACACATTGGGGATAGATTTCATGGTGATGGTAAGGATTACACTTCCTCCAGGTTTCACTTGAGCAATCGGCTCAGATTATCTCCTTTCAGACTCAGAGTGATTCTCTTGAAGTGAATTCTATTAGCCCCATTTTGCTTCCAAAGAAATGAGGCCTTGTAAAATTAAAGCCTTGCCCAATGGTACACAACCAGAAAGTAACATCAGGACACAGCCAAAGGTTTGGCTTCACCATATATCCACTGAGCTACTGTGCCACTACGTCCTGTGGGCCTGTTAACCAGCAACTGCAAGTACCAGTGTTTTCAGTCCAGGAGGGCTCCTCAAAAGGAGACACATAACTGATGTATGGG